CCATCACAACGACTGCTCTCTCTCTCTCTCTCTCTCTCTCTCTCTCTCTCTCNCTCTCTCTCTCTCTCTCTCTCTCTCTCTCTCTCTCTCTCTCTCTCTCTCTCTTTCTACGCTTCTTCCCTCGAAAGACTTTACTAACGAGGAAGACTTTTAATTCACGGACAAGTAGATTTCTCGCGGAAAGGAAGGTGTGCGCGGCTGAAAAAATGTCTTCTTGAGAGAGTGTCACGATTTCCCCTCGGATATTTATAATGTCTCCCTAATTTTCTCCGACCGGCGCGATTGACCTCTCGGTTATCTCGACTCGATAACGGCGCGTTAAATCGCACCGTAAAAACTTATTCCCCCGACTAAGCGCCACGATCACGATTTAAAGCGGTCAGCACGGCGAACGATGTGGAAAGTTCGCCGTTCGCGTACTCGATGCCGCAATTGGAAATCCGGAAAAATTGCCGACCTACGTATACGTGATCGTGGAAATTTCCGGCTTCTAAATTCGAGACGGGAAAACTCGAGATAAGCGCCACGATAAAGTACGAATGAAGAGAGAGAGAGAGAGAGAGAGGAAACTCGAGAAGTAATAACTCCCCGAGGCGATCTCAATATTTGATTTCTATCGATGACGCAAACGGGGGACGGGATCCTTGATAACATCGGCACGACGTTACATTTCGCCGACGTATTTCTGGAACAAACATGTCAGCGTCGCGTGTATCTCGTCGGAAGAGTAAGCACGTCCCTCCCGTGTGCGCCGATGTTACGTCGACGACGAAGATCCCGGGAAAATATATCGGCGCGGAAAAACACGGCTATTCTAATGGAAGACTTCGAGCGGCCCGGTGGCGAGTTCGTGCGACCCTTTTTACGCGATCACGTTCGAGCTACGAACCGTCGAAAATGCCGTCCAACGGTCGCCCAACTTTGAAAAATCGCAAAGCGAAGCGCGACCCTGCATCGATTCTCGTGAGACAGAGACAGAGAGAGAGAGAGAGAGAAGGAGACCACGACCGTTCGAACTACAATCGACTCATATCGCCTTACGTTTTAACCAGAACTTATCCTCCCTTCCCCCTTCACCTCTCGAGGGATGCGAGCACATGTATCGTCTTGCATCCTCCTGCATCCCCTTGCAACCCGCTGCGATCGTACTCACTCTCGACGAGGTAGACGCGCCGCGCAAAAATATTATATCGAGTATCGATACGCCGCGCGCGATCAGATAAGGGCCCCGAGAGGGCCCCGCTGACTCGGTCCTTTCTCGTTGCGATGGAATCGCGGCCCGCTTTTATTTTCGCGGCCAAGTATTTCGATGACTCAACCGCCGCGCGGACACTCTCGTTGGGCGGGGAGAGGCGGCAGCGGTCTCGTCGTCGTCGTCCTCATTCTCCTCTCTCTCTCTCTCTCTCTCTTTGTAAAGAGGAACGACATTCGAGATGATCGTAACCGCTAGGAATTCCTCGGGCGTTCCCGAGGCGCAGGAGTAGATCGTCTTGGCATGGCCGGCGATTCGGACAACGTCGCCGCGAACGCCAGCCGGCGATTCAGTTTCTTTCAAAATTGTAGACATCTTGACCCGCCGCCTCAGCGGAAAGGTGTTGTGCAACTCACGTATATTTTATTCGTTAGTGACGTGCGTGTTATAAATTGTTGCATTTTCAAGCAATAAAAGTAGGACAACATGACGATCATGGTGGACAAAATTAGCATGGCTGCTGACTTCAGAGTGCACAGTTCGCGCGCGTTGAGACATTTTATTTACATCCTCAAACCATGAAATTCACTCGGCGTCACGTTTGTTTGATAAATATCTCCGTCAGATAACAAAACGCGTCCCTACCACAACTGGGATATTTCCGTCGTCGTTAAACGTCGCGACATTTTTCACCGGTTCGAAATAAAAATAGCCAATTACCGATAATTCGGCTGGACATTAACGATGCATCCGGACCGTTATACAGATGGAAATAAACGGCGCACACGTATGTATCACGCAGCGCGAGAAAGAGAGAAAACGTGAAAAATTATCACACTCGGTGTATATCGAGCGGTCGAGTGTTTTTCGGTGTTAACTGAAAATCGATTATCCGAAAATACCGCTTAATACGACGTTACGTAACGCGGGGGAATTCGATTTACCGCGAGCGAATATTTACGGACACGTACGCCGTTTATCCACGTGGCATCGAACGCGGCGGCGGAGGCGGCAGCCTCGATAGCGACGTGGCTGCAGCGAATTATGCACGCGCGGCCAGACGATGAGATCGCATCGCAACGAGCCCGGTCGAAATTGATGCGCGATAATAATACGATCAGGTGGAAAATCGAGCCCCGACGATTGTGTGTTAAGCGCTGATGTTCGATAACACGCCACCGCGAGATTTCGTGGAAGCGATAACCAAGTGACGATAATAGGAGCTAATAAGCGGTCGAGAGGGGAAAAGGTCGTTCGGGCGAAAAAAACTGTTATTTATTCGAGCGGGTGGCTTTAAAAGTCTACATGTTTTTCTCTCGCGCGCGCACCTTATTCGGGCCTCTTCGTCGGAGAAAAAGCCGCGCGGAGAACTCCGCGTTGCGCGGATAAATTCATCACACCCCTTCTCGCGCGTGATTAACGGAAATGTCGCGGGTAAAAAATAGTGCGGTTTCAAGCTACCCGCCGTGTTATTTCCCACCGGTTATAAACGCCGAGTTATCGTGCAAGTTGCCCCCTTTTTTTTTTTTAGCGAAAACGAACAGGATATCAGCGTTTCCGGAACAATGTTTTTATTGTATTTCGCCCTCCGGTATCGAACGCGCGCAAAGGGATCCCGCGCTGGAGCGGATTCCCGCGGCATCTCTTTGGAAACAGCGGCAAACTCTCCGCGCGATAGAATCGTGCGCCGCGATAAAATTTCTTTCCCGGAGACCCGTGGCTGCTTCACGTGAAGCAATTGAACCGTCAAACTATTTTTACAGGAATCCTTTGAAATATTGCTCGCATATCGATGGAAATATCTAATACACACGTCCGTAAAGTTAAAAAAAAACGACCGATCCTTCGGAAACTGAGATATTCTCAAATAAAGATGACACTTTTCATACCTGCCTCTCGTTGTTAATATTATATTTTTAACGTCTATTTTTAATTTCTTCTAACACTTCGAATTTTTATGGAAAATTACTGCAGTATTAAGGATTAATGTAGAGACATTGTGCAAAATGTGATTTACAATTAAGTAAAGAAGAAAGGCCGGTGAGAGCCGAAACACTAGTTGTTTCTCGCAATGATTATTCAACATCACGGACAAAGTTTAGAAGTCGCGAATAATTACAGGAAAGTTCCTTCTCCCCAGTAAATGATAAACTTAAATAGGAGGTTGATATCGCTCTTGATATCGCCACTGAAAATCCGACGGCCTTGAGGATGAAAAACGCCGCCGCCGCGTTACAAGCTGCCGGCGTCGAGCGGCGTTAAAGCCCCCGGATTGCGCGAACCCATACGCGCATCTCCGTCGAGAGCGAAACGGGTCGCGAGCGGCCGCGTTATCGCCACCCTTTATCTTCGCCCTCGGCGAATTTCAGCGCGAACGCGAGCGGAGAGTAGACGAAAGCACCTCGTCCGGCGCGATTCTTCCGTTCTCCCGACGAGCCTCCGGTCAACGCGGAGCTCTTGTGAGCGCTCGCGGATTAGCGCGGAACGTAACTGCGTATCGATGCCGCTATTAGCGGGCAAGCGAGCTTCGCTCTATAACGGCGGCGGACGGGGAGGATTTGGAATTTAGATCTTCGCGGCCTCGTCGGCCGCCGTAAATTTCGTGTTGCGCGGCTTAAAGCGGATCGCCAACACCGGGGCGTAATCTCTTTTCTTCGGGTTAAGCCCGTGCCGAGCACCGTCGTGCGAGCGCCGGGCGGACGGGCGCGGTGGACGGCTCTATCGCGCAATCTATTTCCGAGTTAATTACCGGCGAAATAAAGAAGTAGGTCGGCCTGTCCTACAATGAGTACGGAATACCGCGCGCGCCGGAAACATTGCGATAACGAGCCCGCCGAATTTCATTCGGGAACGCTCGCGCGGCATTTTTACGAGCGTGTGCGCGAACGTAATGATTACACGCGCGGTAATTAACTCCGCGCCCCGCCGTGTATTTAGAATCTTTACACGCGCGCGCGCCAGCGAGAGCGAGCGCTTGAAAACTGCGCGCGTGTGTAATGTTTTCGAACCGATTCCAAATACGAGCGGCTGCCCGCGAGAGGAAACGGAAAGATCCGCTCGCGTTAATGAGGAGATATTTACTACAGCCCCGGTGTGTTCCGGTTTCATCGCCTGTCCGCGCGGGCATAATCAGCGCGCGGGTGGGCGTGCGAGAAGCTCCTCCGCGGATGTAGAAATGAAATCCCGATTCTCCGATTATTCTTACCGGACAAACGCGAGGGGCGACCTTCCCCCTAGCCCGGTGAAATAAGTCTACCTGTGTTTCGGCGGGGGGATTAAATTATACCGCTTTCTATTATATGCGCACCTCTATTAGTTCATCTGGCATATAAATATAAGCGTTAATAAAAAGGAATAAATAATGTTTGTCCGTGTTTGTAATATTGTGTATACGTCGGTTTTAGTTTCGCTCGAAGGCTAATATTGATTATTGAAATAATTGAATAAAGTTACAGCCGGGTCTTTTTCTCAAATAAATAATAATTTTATAAAAGGACCCCTTAGTATCGCCAGTGAAAATCCGGCAGTCTACGGACGAACTACTTTAATCTATTCCTCATCGAAATAAATCCCGTGTTAATCTTTCTCCGGAGGACACTCCGCGGGGGAGAGAGGGAGAGGGGGAGAGGAAGATAGAGAAAGCAAGAGAAAGAGCGAGAGAGAATGTGTTTATCTCTCGGCAAAAATAGCGCAAGATAAGCGGGCCGAGTAAATCCCTCGCGCTGTTGGCTTAGCTCAGAGAGCGTGCAGCAGCACTCCGCAGGAAATTGTCCTGTGCCTTTCGAGCGGCATAAATCGCATCACCTACCGTGATCTTCAGGTCCCGCGGGTCGCATGTGTCGTATCGTCTGCTGAAGCGAAGGACCGTGTGCGTCTTGTTCTCGTAACCCAGTAACAGCCGGTAGTCCTGGCTCGAATCCATCTGCGGGTCTCTGCTGGCGTCCTTCACGTGCCGGTCCTGGAAACGAGCGACGATTTAACGTTAAAATCCGCGCCAACAGGGCCATAAAGTGTAATGCATCGTCGCGATGCTCGACGCGCGCACACACACACATACACATAGTCACTTGCAGTTGCTAGCAGGACGCCTTTTTTCTCGAAAAGTTACATCGACCGCGTCGCGGAGAGCGTGCCCGTCTAAAAGGAGCAGAGGATTTTTCGCGAAGACGAAAGAAATATATATATATATATACATCCCTGCGATTGTTTATCGCTCCGAATATAAATCCGCGAGCGTTTCACCGCGAGGTGAAATAAGAAGACACCGACAATGGGCGGGTATCGCGGAACCGCAATATTTCGCGAATTTTTACCCGTCGAAATATCATCGACCATATCAGACATTCCGATATCGGGCCCGTCCCGAACGAATGGATTAATATCGGCCGACTCGTCGCGCACTCAGCTCGGAATATCCGTCGGAAATTCTAATAACCGCGTCGCGCGAAATATTATCCATTACTTAACGAGTGCCGACATGAATGTAGTCCGTCAGCGCGTTCCCGCCGCCGCGGCGGCACGTCTTTCGACGCGTGCGCGAATAAGGAAGACCTGCCTACCCGCCTGTCTGACTTTCCCTTGACAAGCGAGGCCCTCATCGGCATCCCGAGCCAAGAGGCGGAAACGCGTCATCGTGCCGGCATGATTATCCTGTCCTACTCGTTTTGAATTTATCCGCGCCGCACGCCGTGCCTCGTTACCGTTAGCAGTTAACGACTGATTGGTCGTCGACTCGGCTACAAATGAATAGACCGCGCACCGTAATTTGCCCGCTGGTACCCGCACTCTTTCTCTCTCTCTCTCTCTCTCTCGCCCGCGCGCCGCTTTTATGACCAGCTCATTCTGTCTCGCGCGCGCGAATGACGCGAAATTGGATACACCTCTCGTCTCGCAATAATAATCGATCCTCGCGCGAACGATCGTGGGACCGGCGAACGCTTTCCCATGCGTGACTACTCGCATTTACAGTTAGCCACCACCTCCTCCTCCTTCACTATTGCCAATGGTACCTGCGATCTCGCGCGAAATATGAATCATTGCTCGACCAAGTCTACGCCCGCGCCGTCTTTCTCTCCCCCGCTCCGCTAATTCGCTCTACTTTTCACCCGCCGAGATTAAAGCGGCCCCGCCAGGGGCTAATTCGGCATTTAAATCGGCAAGTTCCTTCGCGCTGATTTATACCGAGTTAGAAGCACCATCGCGCCCACGGTGTCAGGATGTTCGCCAGTTTTGCCCGATCCGCGCGAGCAAACCGCCCCGGATCTGACTTCTTCGCGCTGTTTGACGATTTATTTTTCTCCATCCCTTCCTCTTCTCTTCTCTAAGTCGCGAGACGACGGCGGTACAACGTGTGCGTTTGTTTTGATCTTCGATCTCAGTCGAGTTTGTTCTTCTCGGTTGGACGCCTGTGAGACCCGCGCGCGTTCTCCCTCCCCGCGTTGATCCCCTCTTCGACGGGGAAGTTTCTCTCTCCGGGGCCGGGCGTGCGAAGTTCGCAAGTGCGTGTAGCGCATCGCCGATGGAGCACGGGGAAATTTTATGCACGCACATTATCGCACGGAACTTAACACGACGGAACGCCGTCTGAGAGAACGAGCGTCAGCCGGAAGGCAGCACTATCGGCACGACCCCGCACCGTGAAAATATTCAGCAGCCTATTATACGCCTGAGATTTTACGAGACTGCGTACCATGTTCGCGACATGCTCGGCTAGAGATTCCAGCAAGGTCCCTTAAAAAGCGCCGGCAAGGCGATACGTTGAAGAACTTGTAACGCCGCCGTTGTACCATAAATCCGGATAATGAAATTGGACGGGGAGAGCTCGGGCGGAATCGATCCCAGACTCGGTGCGATTAAAATACGTTACCTCCGCTGAGAGAGGTGCAGGGAGTCGCGATAACAACCGACGAGAGCTAATATTGCGCAAGTGAGTTCAATTAAGGGTGTATTGTCCGTAAGACAGAGTAATGAAGAAATTAAAAATTGCAAATTGACCTACATTGCATTTAAAGGTGGCGTCGAAAGTTTCACAGTAAGTGAAAAGTCTCCGTGAAAAGATGTTCGATTTTAAAGGAGGTTGTAAGGTGAAATGAGTTTGATAAGAATCCAATGGACTGAATGCATTGAACTATTGTCTAACTCATTGCTCGCGCAATTAGAAAAAGATTGGCCATTCAAGAGTTGAGATGTTTGTAGCTAAAATCGACGCTTTTTACACGTGATCCTTGGAGATTAGCGTGCTATTAATTCCTACTTTAAATATCTCCTAAACTAAAAATAAGGTTTTGAAAAACTGCTATGTTATATTAAAGACTAATATGCAAACATTGTATGCAAAGTTCAGAATTATTGACGATATTGTTTTGAAGATACGGCGATGAAATGGCATTAATAAGAAAAATAAAAAGAAATATTTTCGCATTTGTGATATTGTATATATCGTTTCAAATTAACATTTATTATTTAAGTATTGAAATAGGAGCGTAATTTTGCTTGATAAGTACTAAGTTTATCAATATCCCCCTTGATACACCATTGAAAATACGGCACTAATGGACAATACATTCTTAATTCAATATTCAACTGGATATTAACATCGTGTTTTCTTCAATATTTTATTATTGACTGCTCGTGATCTCGGTCTTCTATTTTAAACGCTCATATGGACTCTCCGATTAAACACTCAACTCTCGCTGTTTTCCTTCAATTTATAACGAGACGATTTACGACGCTTCATTTGACTTCAATTTACACCCACGATCTCTTTCCGTTTCAACTTTTACTCTTGGATATATTTTACACGCGTTACGCTTTATCGCGCTCTGCTTGCGGTATGAAAATCAACAACCACGACGGATCGTGCAAGAGACATCGAGTAATCACGTAACGATGACTAATAAGTTTCTACTGATTATCTAACGCGACCGCTCTTTGACGCGAATACCTGCGATCTGTTTTATCGCGCGTGCACTGTTTCTTTGCGTTATATATTAGAATAGCCATTCCATCGCGTCTCACAAAGAAATAGCCGTCACCGGCAAAAACCGGTGGCGCGGCGGCGTCGCGCCTACTTCGCCCTTTTCCCTCGCCGATCGAGTTTCTCGTTCGCGACGACGATCGTCGGACCGAGACGACCGCGCGCTCCCTGTCGCAAGGGAGACGAAAGGCGAGACCAGAGGCACAAAAGTTAAGGCGAATTTACACGAGTGTGTCCTCGACCACCATCATTCAAAGGGCGAAAGTGGCATGAATTACGCAAACATTGTCTTCGCGAGAAAAATGAATCGTCCGAAGTCCGGGTTGCTTCTCGCTTTCGTTCGGCCGGGCGAGCGCATGGTATGATGACGTGCATTAATGCTGTCCTATTCTCTACACTGATAGAAAATTATAGTTACTTTCGGTGCCAACCATGTTTTATAGCAGTAGCAATATACACGTAAAGTTATTTTATCATCGACGCTATAGGTGACATTTACTAGGAAAACGGAAACTCTCCTGTTTTTATGATCAAAATCCAAAAGTGGCTTGACACCAAAAGTAACTATAATTTTCTATCAATGTAGACATAATGATACCGGAAATTTCGAATCAAGCATATCATTTCTGAATATTCGTTTTTTTTTTTTTTTTCATACATCATGACCGCCGATTATTCCGTGAACCAGCAAGGATGCTCCAAAGCAACAGAATATTCAGAAATGACGCACCTGATTCAGAATTCCCGATATCACTAGGGGATGCCTAGGTAATAGGACTTCATTAATGCACGGCAATATAATGGCCTCGGAAATATGTTGCTCACGTGCTTTTCTTGGGTATGTATCTTAAGAGGAACGGTGGACAGCAAAATTTCGATTTTTCTTATAAGAACAAGCTGCGGAGAAGCCGACCCCACTTCTGGCCGGAATTTGCGTAAGCGAGAGGGATATCCACTCCAACGGGACGGTTTCTTTGTCGCTACATTTCGCTGCACGCAATAACAACGCAGATTGGCGAGTCTCGCGTCTCGGGGGTGAGAAATTGCGGGTTTGCGAGACGAGAGTCGAAAGTTGGTAGGTTGAGGCAGCTCGGAGCTGAGAGTTTCGAACCCGACGCTGGTTTACAGCCGAGAATCGGGAGTTTCCAGTTGACGATCGCGTGCGTGCACGCATTTATGTTCGCGCTCTCGCCCGCTCTCTCTCTCGCGCACTTACGTCATATATCATCGCGTGTAGTTGTGCGAAATAGTTTGTAATCGCGGCTCACCGTACGGAATCGTAGATGCAACTTCGCATGATGATAAGGAGGAGGAGAAGTCACGGCGCGTTTCGCCTCGTGCCGCGTGTCTCGTGCGGCGAATGCCGTTTGATCGGATCAGACGCGCGCGATTCAAGCGGAGCTTCCCCTCTCGCCGCGCGCGCGATGCGAGAACAAGAAGCCGCTCGTCCAATTCATTTTGGATGATTCATCCGGGGTAATCATCGGGAGCGAACCGTGTAAATTCGCCTTTAGTTGAGCGACTCCGAAGCGTCGTCCGGGAGTTCTTCGGCCCTCCAAGGGCCGAAGACAAGTTTTTCTGCCGAGATTCCGTGCCGCCGCCTCGATATAATTATCGCGGGCGCGTTTCGCCCGCGGGAAGAAGCGCACCGACCCTCCCGGACAATTTCCGAGGCCATTGTTCCATTGTCGTGGATCGTTTCCCTCTCCCCCGCTTGCGGTTCCTCCGCTTTCCGGCCTCCGCGGCTTTATTAAAATTTCATTTGGCCGCGAGCCGTCGCCACCGCGGTTGGTACCTGCTGCGCGTGATCCCCGACGAGTCACGCGTGTTATGTCGCCGGTACCCTACATCTCGTTCCTGGTCCCTCATCCTTCGCCTGTTTCTTTTTTCTTCACTGACGTTCTCACCTGGGCCGCGCCACGTCGCCTTTGCGGCTGTCGGGATGTGCGGAGAAGGTGAGGAGAGAGGATAGGAACGACTGC